GGGGGGTATTTGTTGTCACTTGTCTGGCGTGTTGTCAGTGTTCACCAACCTTCAATCGAGCCTTGAGCCGAGGCACATATTTTACTTTTCAAAAATCACATTGCACATCCATGCCCTGTACTGCAAACATTGTGAATAGTGGAATACATTTCCCGAGCTCGAGAAAGCCTTTAAAATATCCCCCTAGCCTTATTATCCAGCAATTAAATAATCTTTATGCTTTCAAACTGGAACTGATAAAAACATGAATCAACATTTCAAAATAGTGCACTATTTTGACCACTTTAATGTGTCCCTCTCCACTGCACCCTCCTCGACTGACACTGAGAGCAAAGCTACTGCTAGTGGCAAGAATGTCTGCATGCTCCTTGTCACTGAGAAAAGGTTCAAACATTTGGTAGTTATAATGAAAACCCTTCAACTCTCACATCCCCTTTTCCACTCCACTGAGATAACTTCACCTCTTTGGAGCCATTCATTCGGTATTGGTCGTTGTCGTATTCCGAGGACTTTACCCGACTCGTATAGATAGGCACATCCCTCACTAAACACAGCATTTAAGTACACGTGTCTAATTTGACAGTGGGACATTTGTAGTCTACGAAAGTGGTTTGGACTGGTCGCCAGAATAAAAACTCACAACGAGCCGAGATTCATACCTAGAAGTGCAAACAACGAACGCAATGTGATGGAACTAGTATTTGATGATTACACGCTTTTAATAACCATGCTCCACCGAGGTTTTATTTGTTTCTAGAATTGCACCGCGGGTTGAATCGAATGCTTTTGGGGGTGGGGGTGGGGGCTGTAGCTTCTTTCCCCCTGCTGTATTAGATCCAGTGCCTCAAAACTGACTCCCTATGGTCTCCCTTTTGAGGTAAACGACCCAAGAAGCGAGCTCCATCATCGATTGCGAGAAAGAAATGCAATTAAAAACTGACTGGCAAGATAATTTCATTTTGTGCGACTGAAGTGGGAGGATAAGACAACATAAAATCCACTTTGCCTGCTTATGCGATTAAGACAGTATAAACATCTATTTTCCATGTAAATTGCGCTCCCTGTGCCCTCATTAAATGTAGAGAGAGCCGCTACGAAAGCAGTGTCAGAAATATCACTGAGTCGATGCTTTGTTTTGATTGCTACTGTCAAAGACAATGCTGTGTGTTAAGTGTTAACAGGCTGCTTACTGAGAGGTGTTTTTCCTACTTGATAAATGAGACCATTAAAATCATCTTTTAAAAGTATTGGCTTGTCAATAAAGTCCTATTTGATGGGGAGTAAGATTTTTTTTTTTTTTCTGAATGCTCCTGTGCTGGATTCCATCCAAGGCTTCTCATACTGATGTTCTCAAACCTTTTAAACCATCATCAATTTGAAAATTGCTCTTCGATGTAGGAATTTTTTAATAAGATGTACTTATATAACAATTCCCTTAAAATGTATGGCACATAAAACTTTCAACAAATTGTACATGAATAATGTGAAAACAAACAGTTTTAAACGATAAGTGCGAGTGTCTTGAACTCAAGCGAAATACAACTGAAACTGCAAGTGGGCAGTCATGATCTCGCCTGCCACAAGAGGGAGACTGCATCCCCCTCTTGGTACTTGTACCACACTTTGAGAAGCTTTGTCATACTGATCCCTGTGGATTGTGCATATTTTTAGCCCCGCGTTTATTCACTTGCAGAGTATTGCTCTAACTGCCAGGTTATGCGTCCATGCATCAAATAACAGGAAACTTGTCGAGTGTTCCATTTGGCATATGGGATACATGGGCCATTATCCTGCTATGGCGTAAAGTTACAGTCGTGTGAAGCTTCACAACAGCTCTTGGGTCGGTTCTCTCTTGGAGGTGCACAGGTACCTCATGTTGTGGCTGAACTTACTTTACATTTGGCTGTATGGGAATGTCACGCAGTTTTCAGGCACCGCACTGTTATATAATTCAATATTGCACGCCGAGGTAAGCGCGTCACATTAGCCTGAAATCGAAGACGAGACATCCAGCCCGAACGCCGCAAAGTGAATTTGCGGCCTGAGCTGCAGCAGATGGTAAGGCCGCCATGTCAGCCTGTACAGTATATCAACCCTGCAGCAAAGACATGACTAATGCATAACACTGTAAGGGCCTCAGCCATTTGTTATGAGTCCTGACCATGTTCATTTCGAGTATTTGAACACGTTTGTATGCCTTGATCAAAAATTGATCAACGCTGCATCCAGTTCACACGCCTTGAAAATTGACAGCCGCTATTGTTGTGCGCGTGTCTTCACAGGTGGCTTTGCAATCGTGTTCCTGGTGAAAACAAACCAGGGCGTGCGCTGCGCCCTCAAGAGGATGTACGTCAACAATGAGTACGACCTGCAGGTGTGCAAATGCGAGATTCAGATCATGGTGAGTCGATGAAAAATCTTCTGTTCAAGCCTGCGAAAGTCTGTCAACATGCACACACACTCACATACACGCCTGTGAGTAAATTAATTGACTTGGTAGTATGCTGCTGCTGTTTTCTCAGTTTTGTTTCTTTTGTACCACCCTCCTCCCCCCCCTGACTGATTTTAATATTCACGCAAATTTTGACCTGACTGTTCTCTTGTCACCCGTGAGCTGTTTCGGCTGAGAAACACGACACCGAGCTGAAAGTTTGGAGTCCCCGTCTGACATGTTTTATCTTCCGGGCTCCACCCTGCAGTGTTTTCTTTTAAAAACCAACATTGACTCACATTCTCTGTGGGCGACGTTATCTCAACATTCTGCCTCATTCCTTTTCTCTACACATTGCTACGCTCACTTTCTTAGTGTACTGGGGCTGCACATGTGCATTTAGTCTAGACTGCCTCAGCTGGCGTGTTGGTAGTTTACACCTTTCCTCACTGTGCATTAGAAGAAAAAAAAAGGACACAACCCTGTAAGTGTCTCGTGAATAGCCTTGCAATCCACACTCACACATTGCTTCCAAACTTTATTGTTGGTGATAATCGGCATGTCTCGCGCAAACTTTCTGTGGGCTGACGTTGCTCTATTTGTGTCGCGGCATTTTGCGTTTTCGCAGAAAGACCTCGTGGGCCACAAGAATATTGTGGGCTATCTGGACTCCAGCATCACAGCCATGGGGTCAAGGGACGTGTGGGAGGTCTTTATACTGATGGACTACTGCAAGGGTAAGTGCCAATGCATAGTCTGACTTTTGTTACCATGACGACAAGCGGCAGCGCTAGGAGGTGGCTACCTGTTGAGCCTTGTATTAAAAAAAAAGTGAGCGTGACGTAAATGCGTGTGAGCCCCCACGGCTTTTGCTTGTCTTTTCACCCATGAAGGCAGCGATTCCCCAACAAGCCGCCGAATTACACTTGTCAAATAGGGTCGTGGATCTGTGCATGTGGCGCATGGAGCGGACACATCACCAGACACGAATATATCTGGTTTGGTAGAAGGTGCCGGTGGAACCTAATGAAGCGTGAAGAGGATATTTTATCAGCATGACCCACTTGAACACGCTTTTAAATCACCAGAAAAGAGTTATCTATCTATCTATCTATCTATCTATCTATGCAGAGATATAGATAATATATGCGTTTGCATCTCGCATATGATTATTTTGCAGGCGGCCAGGTTGTTAATTTGATGAATCAAAGGCTGCAGACGGGCTTCACAGAGACGGAGGTGCTTCAGATCTTTTGCGACACCTGCGACGCCGTGTCTCGCCTGCACCAGCGCAAGACACCTATCGTCCACCGAGACCTTAAGGTGACACATTCACAAGAAAATGGTCGCAATATGTCCAAAAATACTCGCTTTTTGCACTTTCTATTTTGGTGTTCATATTATAAAACCAAGAATGTGTCGCAAAGATTAACTGAATTCTAATTGACACCACGTGAAGTTGAATTTTGTTTTTTTTTCCTTTCATTATGCAAAGTGCCAGAGAAGGTCCATCACTGTACCACTTTGGCGGTTGCCTCTTAGTGTCCCTGTCAAGTGTCATCTCTTACGCGTATAGGTGGAGAACATCCTCCTGCACGACAAAGGTCATTACGTGCTCTGCGACTTTGGCAGCGCCACTAACAAGTCCCTGAGTCCACAGACTGAAGGCGTGGCCGCTGTGGAGGAAGAGATTAAAAAGTGAGCGTGTGTGTGTCTGTGTTCATGATTATTTTTCGGGTCATGTAACTGGACTTAATGTTGTATGTTCTTTGTCAGGTTCACGCCATTTTTTTTCTGTTTTGCCCCCCAGATACACCACTTTGTCATATCGCGCACCTGAGATGGTGAACCTCTACAACAACAAAATCATCACCACCAAAGCGGATATCTGGGTCGGTAAAGACAGCACGCATCATGGTGACAAATGACAATGATTTCGGCAAGGAGACGTCAAACCTGAAAACATGCCGCACAAAGATTTGCAATCAGTAATATTGGCGTAACATTAACGATTGTCGTGCCCGACCATTTTCCAAGCAGATCGGGAAAGAAAAATATTTAACACACTACACACAGACTAATCGGTCAAAATATCTGCGCGACATCCAAGAATTGGGCTGCTGTTTACTTCAAACGACACACACCACCCGATGATCGGGATAGTCGTTAAGAGACATCCAACAATCAGGCTTTTTCTGACAGATCGGAAAATAGAGGGTAAAAAAGCTCTAATGAGGCCTGATTATCTTTTTGTGTGTGCACCGCTTTAGATTCAGAGATGCTTAGTTGCATCATTTCCTCGATGAAAGATTGCCCTGGTTACATTGTGTCACTCATAGGGGAGCCATGCATTCAAAGCAGCCACCGGATAATCTATTATTAGACATCTGTGTGATTGGACCTGGAATTTCTCCCCCTTCTGGACACCCAAGGGTGTGTTACGGAATAGCTTTGGTTATTAAACAGCAGAGGCTTTCTGCTCTGCCATCGTAAAATAATTCAACGTTGCAGCCTCCGTTTCGGTCAACACTAATGAACTTATTGAAACGCAATTCATCCAAATTATGCTTTGAGAACGATTGTGATCGATGACACGCGTTGGATATATTTAACAAGCTAACAGCCTCTTGTCCGGTGTTTGCTGTGTGCTGGGCTGTGGTGTTTTGATCGCTCCTCTCGTCTGGGTTTGGTGTTTTTTTGGTGTGACGGGGCGTGCATGTGGTGTTCCTTTTCCAGGCGCTGGGCTGTTTGCTCTACAAGTTGTGCTTCTTCACTCTGCCCTTTGGTGAAAGCCAGGTGGCCATATGCGATGGCAGTTTCACCATTCCGGACAACTCCCGCTACTCTTACGATCTCCACTGCCTCATTCGTTAGTCTCTCTTAACACTTTTTATGATGCAACAGTTGCTATGCAAATTGTGCTCTCACAAAGCCACGGTTTTATGACTCAGTAGCTCCTCTCTCTCTCTCTCTTTTTGTTTATTTATGTATCTATTTATTTGGGGGTGTGACCCTCTGTGTTGTGTTTTTGCAGGCTACATGCTGGAGCCTGACCCAGACAAAAGGCCAGATATCTACCAGGTGTCCTACTTTGCCTTCAAACTGGCGCAGCGTACTTGTCCTGTTCAGAATCTGAAGGTCTGTAACGATTTTCCTTTTCGTTCCGCCTTCTATGATTGATTTTCACATGCTTTTTACTTAGCGTGACCCACGAAAGCAGATAATTCGGTTACAACATAATGAAAGGGTACCAATCGAGTCACATGATAACATTGCTGTATGTGTACTACGGTAATTGTAAACTGTCAACTGGCTGCATTGCCTGTTTTTTTTGGGAGGGGCGGGGGGAGGGGGGTTGTCCCACGTTGTTGTGATTGAAAATAAAACGATAAGTTAAAAAAAATCCTTCTCCACTCTGCTTCAAGAATTCTGCAATTCCTTCCAAACTTCCCGAGCCAATCAAAGCGAGCGAAGCTGCTGCAGCCAAGAAAAGTCAGGCCAAGCCCAGGTAGATCTCACCTTCTTGGATTACCGTTTAAAATGTGGTAATCTTTGTAATGGACACCGGCTTAATAATTGTAAGGTGTCTGTCACGACATACAATCAGGCTAACGAACCCCCATCTTTGTCGCCAGACTGACAGACCCGATCCCAACCACTGAAACGTCCATCACCCCTCGCCAGAGGCCCAAAGCAGCTCACACTCAGGCCACTGCCGGCATCCTTCCCATTCAGCCCGTTGCCCTTACCCCTCGCAAGCGGGCTAATCTCTCCAGTGGGACAGCTCAGCCTGTTGGTATGTGGCGGAACTCCTCCTTTCTCCTCCTATTCGTTACAGAGCAGTGGAATAAAAATGTGTGCCAAGATTGCGGTCCCTCAAGTCCATTGTGCGCCATTCTCAATTGAAACAGATCAAAAACACATGTCAGAAGATGGGATTAAAGGCAGTCGTATTAGAAATGAGATTCTCTTGACTGCTGCCCTTATGTGCTACTTGGGTTGCGTTGGGAGAAAGAAAAAATCAATTCATATCTCTCATAGGAGTCAGCTTGGACCTCTCGCAGCCAGCTGCGGCCCTCCAGTCGCAGAAGGCGCAGACCTGTGCTTTGCCTCTCATCCAGTCACAAAACAACTCCAGCCAGGCTGCAGTGGCACAGAAGCAGGTACTGCACATACAGATGGAGGAACCTTCGGTGAGGTGTTTCCCCGACGACGCATATAATCTATTTTTATTTGTCTTTGTACTGTGCAGCTTGCTCCAGCGGCGGAAGGCACAGCCGCTGCTCCCGTAGCAGCGCCCGTTTCCAAAGCAGATGTCCAAGCACAGCCGCCGTCGGCCCAGCAAATGGCTCCGCCTCCGTCCGCGACCGCTGCCACCTCGCAGCAGGCGGCGCAGTGTCCGTCCAGTCCGGCCGCACCTCAGCGCCCCGCTCGACGCAAGCTGCCCGTCCAGGCTCAGACGCCCGCAGCTCAGCCGCCGCCCGGCAAATCTGTCGCCGGTCAGTCAGCTGGCGAGCAACCGCAGCAAACAAGTCAACCTTCGACCATCCAGGCTCAGTTGCCTGCCACGGAAGTCAGGGAAAAAGCAGCCGAGACGGTAAGAAATACAGTCGACAACACCTCAGACAGCCAAGTTGTCTGTGGTGGGATAAGAATATTGCGTTGCATCAATGCTGTAGCGGAGCTCTGACGCAAACAAAGGACTCCCTTATGTGACTTGAGTGCTTCTAAGAGACTGTCTCTCTCAAATCAGACTCCTCCTGCTTCCCCAAAGACAGCAGAGGTGGAAAGCCACAAACGTGTCCCAAGTGACATCATAGCGAGCACCACCAACGGAGGCAACGAAAACTCCTCACAGGCAGCAGAAGAAGACACCGTCCAGTAAGTTACCGTCATCTCAAATCCTGAAAACTGAACGACATCAAATTTCCTCAGTCAACCACTTGTCGATGTTCTGTTTCTAGTCCTCAAGTTGGCTCCATCCAGCCTCGTGGCGACCTCGTCCTGGACCAAAAGAACGTCCCCGCCTCCAGCGGCGACACCACCGCGGCGCCTGTCTGGAACCCGTTCGACGACAATGACGGCTTCTCTGGCTTCACCGCCGATGAAGTCAAACCCAAGGACGCGAAGCTTAGCGGTAAATCATGCGTACTGACTTGAAAGAGGCTTTCTTGAGTCGTTAAAATCTGGATGACAATGGTTTGCAGACCCGCCCTCGGAGTGTGAAACGCCGTGTGGAGAGCTGATACCAGGCTTGCAGGCTTCAGACGGAGAAAATGCAGAACAAGACTCACAAGGTGCCCGTTGCACAAATACATACAAATCCATTTGGCTTATTTTTAGGATTAAAAAAAAAAATGTGAAAAATAAATCTTTCCGTTCTTGACATTGTTACCGTCGTAGCTGAACGACCGTCAGCCATCACTGACACTGAATCGGGAGCATCACTGTTGGTCGTCCCAGATCCATTCCATACACTTGAACTGTCCAATGCGCCAGGTAAACGTGCTTTTATGCATTCGGAACGCTTTAGTCGTGGTACAAAATATACTCCAAAATGACAAATAAAATATATTCGAACTATATATAAGATGATCAGGATCCTCTGAAAAATATCTGATTCCTCCCGCCCTCCAGCAACAAAATAATCCTCACGTTTTGCCAATTGCCAGCAGTAGATTAATTTCATACTCCTCAGTGAAGCATTTTAACGTCATGTGGTGGAGTGAAAAAGAAAAAGATATTAACCCCCTCGCCCCCCAAAAAAAGGTGACCACTTGTTTGTCACACGTCTCGTTTTTGAATTCCTTGTTTTCCCTCAGAGAAGCTCATCGAGGGACTCAAATCTCCAGACGTGTCTTCGCTCATGCTTCCCGACCTGCTGTCTTTGTCTGATCCTTTTGGCAGTTCTGTGGAAGACTCCGAGAAAGGTAACTTGCGATTATCCATCCGGATCCCAATGAGGTCATGATAACTGTTTGGTAAAAACAGCGAACCGCTGTGCATGGTTCCGCCTTCACTCAGATCACATCATGGCAGACGCCTCTTTGCTGGGCTGTTCCCTGATATCCGGTCCGTCCGCGCCTCCGGCAGCCGCAAGCAGCGCCGCCTCCTCAGTGTCCTCCGCCTCCGCTGCGTCTGCTTTGGACGAATTTGGTCTGCTGTCTGGAGACTCCGCACAGCCCAAAACATCAGGTGGGTGTGTAAAATTTCCCGAGTGGGCACTGAAGAGTCCTGCTTTGAGCACAGGAAGATACATGGATGACAGATCATCACGCAGTGGAACCTCCCAATTGGTCTAATTTGAAATTCAACCAACATTTTTTTTATGAGTGACAAGGGAAATATGGATTTCAAAATATCATCATGCGTGACACCGATAAATCTCCTGAGACATCATCACCACAGCGACCAGACAAGAAGCGGAATCGTCGGAGTGGTACAAGCGCAGCTGCCCTTTAGTCGTCGGCCCGCTGAACGAAAGCGTTTGACTGTCGCCGTCTGAGGCGACTGTGAATCAGAGCAGAAGTGTCTGTCGGGCCACCTGCTGCGTGATGCTAAATCAATGTGCTGGAGGCGCTGTGACACGGTAACGACTCATCAAGCAGCCTTTGTGCGCTCGTCCCTGCGGTCGCTGCTAATTTGAAATTGCTGTGGGCACCGTGGAAGGAGAGGCGCTAATCGCCGTTGAGTGCACCAATAGCTCGAATAAACAACCTTCACGGATGATTGAGCAAATAGATAATCCACTGCGTGAATGCAATCTGCTTTTTATGTGAAGCTTAACGCCTGCTTTTTGGCATTGCCAGTGGAACGGTGATTCTGTCAACAATTTTTAGAATGCCTCGGGGAAACTATCCATCCATTCATAGTCGGGAAAAGCCTGAGTTAATCAAAGGCATTTTCTCTTCTGTCAATTTTTCCACGTCAACGTGGCTTTTGATTGCCTGAGGTGACCACTTTTTTTTTCTGCAGATTCGTCCCTCCTCATCTCAGACTTCGAGCCGCAGCAAAGCAGCGCTGAGGCTGCCACAGAGGACGAGTTCGACCCCATCCCCGTGACCGGCCGAAAGAACTCCCAAGGTACATTTGTAAAAAGGGCTTGTTGTACCCCAATTTGGGAAGGTTGCAGGATCAGCTGCATGCGCTTTTCTCACATAGTCACCTAAGAATGTAAAGGAAAAAAAATGCAGCAGCGCTTTAAAACGCTCAATTCTGCTTTCTCTTTCTCTCTGCTCCTTCCTCCACCCTCTCTGCCTTTCCCTCCCCGACTTGTTTGCCCCGACCGCCCGCCCGACACCCTCCCCACCGTGTCTCTTTCGGCCAGTTTCAGGAGGCCACTCGCGCAGTAACAGTGGCGGCTCTGAATCCAGCCTGCCCAGCTTGGCCCGCTCCCTTCTGCTGGTGGACCAGCTCATCGACTTGTAGGCCGTACCCCCGCTACCCCCCACCCCCACACACCCGCCGCTATTCTATAGATGCCGTAACACTGAATTCCAGTCGAGCCATGGCTCACTTACGGCTGCCATTTTCATTCCAAGTGCGTGCTCCGTCCCTCGCCATCCGCTCATTTCCCATCCCATCCATGCCCGGCCACTTAAGTGGCTTTGCCACCTCACCATTCTCTCATCTTTTTTCCTCTCCATCTCCATATCTTCACCCTTTCTCAATCTTAACCCTTTGAATATTACATGATGTCTGATAGCGAAAACAATAGCTCATTGTCGTCACGTACAATAAGCCTCGTGCTAAGTGGTCGTAGTTCATTGTGCACAAGTGACTTTGTCGTCGTTTGCCTTGATCGGATTCCCCTCCCGCCCTGTTTTATTTGTATAATTTTTTTAAGAGGTTAAAATTCATGTTTTTCCCAAAAAAGGCATACATATCCATGACAAGAGAGAAATGGGAAATGTCGATTTCTTTTGCCCTTCTAAAGAATGAATGATATGAAACCACCATATTTCCACAAAGGAGAAGCAATAAATTGTCAGAAGGCAACATCGGAGATCAAGTCTTCAGAAACGAGCCTTGTTTAGCACCTTAGCTTGTCTGTCAAGCATCCAGACTGAAAGAAAAGTCACTTCTTTACATCTTCAGCTTTTTAATTGCAGCTGTCACTCAAACCAGGCACCAACTCACCCCCCAGGGAGATATAATTGAGATTTTCTCATCGTACAGTTCACAAAAAATGAAAGCCACGCCACAGTTTTTGCAAACAGGAATTAAACTACCCAATTTAAGAGTTTTGTGTGATAAAATGAGAACTTTATTTCTCGGTTCATTTTCATTGTGGCTCTAATATTCATTTACGTAATTAACTGACCTCATGAAATAGCCATTTTGTTCTGTAAAAATATTGGTGGCCTGTTGGAACATCGAAATTAGCCATAGCCACATATCCTGCATTTGTAAAGCTCCTGAGGGGGGAAAAAAATAAAAAAATCAAACTTTTCAGTGTGCCATCAAATGATATGTGAACCGCAGTGGAAAATATGAAAAAAAAAGACAACAAAAAAAAATTCCTTAGATGCCGCTATAGTCTGTGATTATCATCTTTTGTTTCGAAATTAGCAATAGATTGCTCGAAAATGGTCAATGACAGTTGCACCTTATCTAATAGCGTTTAGCAGTGTGCCATATCAACTCGAAGACGCATGTTTCTGCTTTTGCACCAGTGGGTGAATAACCGTAGAACCGTAGTGCATAAATGGGGCAACTATTAATATTCAGATTTTCACACATTCTCCTGAGAATTTAGTAGGAAATGATATAAAAAAAGGTCGGCACTGTATTGTATGTTTAAGACTGGACTGGTTTTCTTATTTTCTATATTATACAGTATAATCCCCCCCCCTCCCCCCCCGTCTACCACAGTACTGTTGAGATTGGGTAAACATGCCGTTTTGACGCCTTTTTCGTTCCCCTGACAACCGATTGGCGCCAGACGTGACAAAGCGAATGACTCGTTAGTGTTGCCGTTTGACATTTTTCGACCGGAAGTGACCTATGTGATCCCTGTAGTGACGACGGCTGCCCCCCACCCTTAAGAAATCCACAAGCAACAAATCTGACTTTTTGCGGTGAAAACTCTCGACAACAGGGGATGGCCAGATCGCCTTTCCGCGTCCAGACTGTAAAGTAATGGCGCTCACCCAAAACCACCGCTTGGTCATTCAAATTTCTCCATGTCCCCTTGAGCAAAGTCTGTTTCATCTCAATGCGTCTTTGGACTTGACTTGGAAATGCGGTGCCCGACTTTTCTTGCAACAATCCTACCAAATGCTCGGGAGAACAGGCCAGGCATTTAACACTTCTTCTCATCCATTCCCATTTTCTTGAGCTCATTCAAACGCATTTCTGACATCCCTCCCAATTAGTGTAAATACAGTAGTCAACCCCTCCCCATTGTACAGAATGAAGTCACTGTCATATAGCTTTACTGTTGATATATACATATATGATATATATGACTTTGTTTCCTGTCCATAAATGTTAATATGAATAGAGTGGTAGAGAATGAACGTAAGAAATGAATAGTAGTCTCAAAAATATCTAGAATGGCATATATCCGTCAGATAATATTGAAAGAGTATATGAATATTTCATTCCTCTTTGTGGACTGTGTGTGTGTGCGCGTGTGCGTGTGTGTGTGTGTGCGCGTGGATGGGGCTGGGGGTGCTGTTGTGTGTTTCTCTGATATGATATGTTAGCTGTGGGAATCCTGTTCAGTCCCTGCTCCTCTTCCTTTGTACAAAACGTTTTCGTGTGTTTACATGGACTGATATGAAGGACTATATTTTTATTCCAAAAAAAAAAAAAAACAGTTTTATTGCCAGGTGGGAGGTCTTTTCTTTCTGTGTGTGCGCGTGCGTGCGTCTTGTTTCATTCCATCTGCCAGACCGAGCGAAAAAAAAACGTGCTTTTTAGGGGGTAATGTTTAGCTTCGCTTTGTCAATTTTTGTTGTTTTGGAAAAGCATGGCAGTGTCATTGAGTGTTTGTGTTGGTGTTCTGTGTGCGTGAATGTGTGTGTGTGTGCGTGTGTGAGTTCCGGTACCCGTGTTTCTGCAAATAATTTGAGGGTTACTCTCCTGAAAGCACAGTGTTGTCTCAGGTGGAACACTACTCTGAGTCACATGACTTTGTTGGTCAAAACGCACTCCAAGGGGGAAAATGTCTGGAAGGCAAAAGTAGCATTATATCTGGGGAACCAAACGGCCACCGTGACTATTCTAAAGACATGTTAAAGCTTCATCCCTCACCTACTTAGGATTTGGGCAAATCCCCCCCAGTATCATTTTATCAAAATGCAAACCCTGGAATGATCCCAAAATGGCCGCTTCAAACCAAAATGGCAGACTTGGTGTTCAGGATCTTTGAGACGTCCTGTTATTATGGACATTTTGGGGGTCCCTTTATGGACCACAGGCTGTAGGTTACCCAAAGGTTGCGCTTTATGGACGAAGGTATTGGAACATGTGGCCATACAGAAAGCAGGCACATAGTTAGTAGCAATGTTTTGCTAACTGCAACCTTCTTGCTGAATTAAGTTTGCACACGCACAGGATAGAAGACGGAATAGTCCATTCCATGAGAACGGAGGGGGGAGCTGTCAAAAGGACCATGATCATTTGAATCATTTTGACGTGTATTCAAACATGACAAAACAAATGTTTCAAATAGAAGACAACTGTCCGTTTTTATGAGGGACTTAGTTGGTCTCCTTATGGCACTTGCGCCAAACTGTTCCCACAAAGTTGGAAGCATATCATTGTCCACAATGTCTCGGTCGGTGCATTTGTCCATCGAGTGTATTAGCTGAAGAACCATTTTCCTCCATATTTGATAAATGTATTTCAAGAACTAAAATGTGTTGTCCTGCCTCAAGTTGTTCAATCCAAACAGCAGAGAACTTCTTTGTTGCCCTCCATTTTGTCGAGAGTGCAGTCATTTCGTAGTTTGAACCTATGCAACTCCCGAGCTTGGCGCTAAAAGCACGCAAGCGACAAGCAGGCAGTGCGATCCACATTGAAGTAGAATCAGCTGATATTTTCCTCCAGCCTCCTTGCTTGTGTTCATGGCCCACAAACCCACATCAGTCAGAGCTGTGCTATCTTTTCTTGTGCTCCTTCTATTTTTTGTGACATCATTCGAAAGGGATGGCCAAATAAAATGCAAATGTGAACGTCCGCTTGCAGGCTGGTGATTGATTAACACTCATTTGTCATTATTCTTTTTGATGTCAATGTTTTGGAATACCGCCATTGGGTGGCAACGCGTTCAGGGTGTCCCCCGCCTACTGCCCGGAGACAGCAGTCACAGACAGATAATGGATGGATGGATATATTGTACATGTCACAGTCAAATGAACTTTTTTTTTTTTTTGTTATGGTCTACAAAACATACTTAGTAAATTTCAAATATTGTACTTATTTGCAAATTGTGAAAAATGTTTCTCAAAAATATGTGCCGGGCTTCAAATTAATGTTTGGGAAATATTGTTTTAATGCACAAATTAACATTTATTTATTTGATCCAGAGAGCTGATACTTTCTAATAAGGTAAGAACAAAAGTTAAGGATACTTAAGTGACAGTCCTCTTTTTTTGTCCATTTTTATTTTGTTGCTTTTTTTTTTTTTTTTTTTTTTTTTTGTTTTTTTTTTTTTTTTTTTTTTTTTTGTGTGTATGTGTTTTGAGTCATTCATCTGTGTCTCTTCAATGTGTAGGCAAACGAAAAAGGTGGCAGCTCTCCAGCTTACCTGTCCATTATTTTGATACACAGACCACCAGGTGGCGCTGTCCACTAACACGCAAGGTGACGGAGATGGGACATTGGCGTCTGCTCTGGTCACCGAAGAGACGCAGGAGAAGGCAGCTGAATGTATGATTCCCCCGGAGGAGTGGAGCGGAACCTCTGCCAGCCCGGGAGCAAAACCTGCCACCGCACAGAATCAACCCCCCGCCAGCCCCCCCACGCCCGACATCTTCCTGCTGGCCCCTTTTAAAAACAAGACTGCGGCAAGTAGCACCTTCTTCGCCCCCGAGCTCCCTGAGTCGTCACCCGACGTTTTCCTCCAGGCGCCGTTCGGCAAGAGGAGGGAGCGCGCGGAGGCCGGCCGACGGCACCCCCCGAGCCGGCCGACGCCTCTGCCGCAGCAGCCAGTGGCGGTGCACCGCGTGGTGTCCCGGGTGGGACGGCAGGCCGCTGTAGGCTCGGTAGCCGTGGGGCCGCTGCACTCTTGGTCCATCGGGGGGCGGAGTCTGGACGACCCGTTTAGCGTGGCGCCGTTTCGCCCCAGGTGCTCCCAACACAGACCTTGATTAGCAGGTCAGTAGGTAGGATTTTGTACAAAATTACTGCACTGGAATTAGTCCAAAGGCGACATATTTTGTGGTTACTTCTTCTGATTTTTGCGATTACACAGATGAAGGAAAACCCACTCGCGTTTAGTGCTTAGTCCACACCGTTTTTTTTTTTGTTTTGTTTTTTTCGTTTTGTTTTTGAAATTTTAAGTGTCATTCGTCAGCAAAATGGCGTCCATCACTGACGTCCATCTTCTGTCTGTAGAGATGGAATGCCCACCTCTGGACATTCTGTACTGTATAAGTGTTACTGTATAAATCTCACCTAAGGGTGAATATGGACAGTAGTTTAGGGGGGTTTTAGTGGCTTTAAAGTATGTACCGGTACATGCCTCAAGTATAAGTCGATGTCTTAGTTGTGGCCGTGAAGCTTGCACACCAAAGAAAGTTGTCAACATAAATGTAGTCATCCAAAAATCCCGCACATTTTCGGAGGAGTTTAAAGCACCGCCTACAATTTCTACTTTTGTCGAGTCTTGTAAATGATCCAAACTGGAAATTCTTCAACGGTTTCAGGTTCATCCAAGCTGCTTTAGAATCGCTTAACTTTGAACCTCTCGCGACAACCAATGAAACCTATCACGTCTTTGACAAGCAAAAGTTAGTCACGTACTAAAGTTATGTAATGTATTTTGTCTATGTAATATCTGCTTCGGGGTAGTTTCCAAAGTGACTGTTACACTTTGTGTTCTATTAAAAGGGACATTTTTGGGGGGGTTTTACACACCCACGCTTCCAATGTCAGTTTGTTATTCTGTTAGCCATCCAAGTCACCAATTTCTAGTTTCCCTTGTGGTCGGGAGTACAAGATAAAAGATAAAATATGTGCGAGGGGGTGGGGGGTGGGGTGGGGACATAAAAATAAAGCCCAAGCTGCTGCTGTTTTCATGAGCACTTACGTAAAAAGCCAATAAATGAAGACAAACCCCGCTTAATCTTCCATTTGAAAAGCTAAAAAAGAAGATGTGGAACAACTGTGAAAGATGATCTGCTCCATTTGAGTCAAGTGCACGTCAAGTGTCACGCACTCAATGTTTCATTTTTGAGGGGTGTCGACAGCACATGGAAACATTTGGACTGGAGTTCGGTCATGAGCGGTGTCGTGCAGTAATGCGTTATGAGTAACGTGTCATGGAGAGCGAAGGCGTAATTTGGATTGTGATGACTTTTTAGGAAAAGCCATTGAGACAAAGCGTTCTGACACTGACCCCAAAAAAAAGAAATAGTTTCCCTGACAGCTTTTGGAGAATTCAAACTACTGGTCGTTATGTCACATCTTTCCTAAATCGGAAATAACTTCTCCCGTTCAGTACCCAAAGCTAATACATTCTAATTTGGTTCGTTTTGAAATCCAACTCTTGGCAAATGTCGTATTACCTTGCTGATCACCAACTTTGACACAGAAGGGGGCGAGCAAGCAGGTCAGAGAAGCTGCTCTTTCTGAAGCCATCCATCACAACTTCCAGACCCTGCATCGAATTCAGCCTCCCTGCGATTTTTTTTTTTTTCTTCCAGACGGACAAACCGCAAACAGTCTTGTGACGTCAAACTCCCCTTTATTTATTTATTTAATTGTGCCGTCAATGGCAGCTTGGGAGATTGATGCCCTGCTTCTCTCGTGGGTCGAATGAAAACGCTCCAATGGTTATTCGTCATTAACGCCTTTTATTTTGTTGTAGTTTCCACACAAAAATATATATAGATATATTGTCACATCAAATATTTCTACTGTATTAGGGGATTCCATTGAGATATTTACACCTGAGAGTTCCCCTTTGTAGAACAGACGTTTAAACAACAACTAAAAACTGGATTATTATGGAACACATTTCAAACCATTCAAACAGATTTAATGATCATTCCCCTCTCATAGTAGCTGTCTTGATTATTTGAACCACTCAGAACTATTAGGGGCTAACTCCATTGTCATTTTTTAAGTGAAGTGCAGAACTGATTTAAGAAAAGGTCTATCTTTCAAAAGAATCATCCTAAATCAAGGGTTGTTTTTTTTTTTTTTTTCGATTGGGCCAGACCATATTTGCACTCAGCACCGTTCCTGATCCATAAGCGCAACACTGGGCCAACTCCCAGGATGGCGACACCCTTGAAACCAGGGTTCACCTCAGTCTTTGTGTTGTGAAATGTGGGAAATGCAACTTTCACAACAGCAAAACCACTCTACTGTTTTTGCTTTTCATTACACGGCAATGCAAAACAAGATCATCTTTCACTGTACAAAGCATTGACAGAGGAAAAGACTGAACTGTAATAAGTAATAATTTGTAATAATTACACTGCAATATACTTAGTCTAGTCTGGGGGTAGACAGGTCCGGTCCTAGAGAGCCGCTGTCCTGCCTGTTTTTGAAGTTTCCCACCTTCACGCACCCGATTCAAAAGATCAGGTTCGTTATCAAGCTTCTACGACGCTTGCCTACCCCTGCTCTCGTCTAATATCGTGAAAAACAATTCATTGCACATAAGCCCATGTGAAGGAAAAAAAAGAAAGTACAAATGTTTTCCCTGTTCAGAAGAAAGCGTGCTCAGGTTTCCATCGGACTCGGGATGTATCAGTCATCCTCGTGGCTGGGGCGTGGCGGTGGGCGGGACGGAGGCGGGGCTCTACACGGTGGCAAACCCTGAGGCGCAGGCGGCGCGCAGACGGAGGACAGAGTTCTGCAGGGAGGGGGCGTGTAGGAGGGCGGCGGAGGCGAGAGGGGAAGCGCGGGAAGGGGGGGGGTG